ATGATCATCATCCGGTGATACCAGGACACTTCCTGAGCTCAAGGAATCAAATTAACAAATTTTTGGACACGACAGCCGAGAAAGGCGAAGAAGCAGTAAGAAGAACGAGGGTTGAAGCTACACAATTGAAGACATTTATATATGCTTTATGAACATTGAATTGTAATATAATTCTTTTGAGATTATTAATGAAACTGTTCAGTGTTGGTGATGCGTTGTGTTTATTTTTGTACTTCAAAATCCTTAGAATAAAATATTTGTCAAGTTAAAGTTGGAACACTTGAACTCAAAGTTACCATATTAAAGTCACCGGTTCACGTTGTGCATTTTGTAAACACCATTTCAAAATTAGTAATGGTTTTTACATGGAAAGGGTTGGGAGATGAAAATTTTGGCCCATACAGGTCTTGAACCTGTGACCTTCGTGTTATTAGCACGACGCTCTAACCAACTAAGCTAATAGGCCTTTGATTTCCAACTTTCAGAACACTACTATATCTAGTCACTTTTTCAGCTAAAATTGGTAAAAATGGTTATGAAATGCCAAGTGTTCATATGTAAAATTCTACACAAAATTAGATGACTTAACACATATTCAGTGTCACTGTATCTTTTATTTATTAATTATGATCGATTTATCACCAATTAATTATATGAGAGACAAGGGTTACAAACCGAAGAAAAAATTTTAATCCTAACTAAAGAGTATCGGGAATGACTCGGACGAAAAAGCGTAAGGGCATATTATTCAATATTACGAAAGACAATGGAATCTCCCTTGAGGATGGGATGACCACCGCTGAGTGCATTAGATGGTAGAGATGCGAGTTAAGCGAAGGAGAAAATACCCTTGACGCTTTCGATAACTACCACAGTTTTAGAATCAATCTCACATATATATGATCATCATCCGGTAATACCAGTACACATCCTGAGCTCAAGAAATCAAATTAACAAATTTTTGGAAACGGCAGTCGAGAAAGGCGAAGAAGCAGCAAGAAGAACGAGGGTTGAAGCTGCACAATTGATGACATTTTGTAATGTTTATATATTTATTGATGCTTTATGCACATTGAATTGTAATATAATTCTTTTGAGATTATTAATGAAAATTTTCAGTGTTGGTGATGCGTTGTGTTTATTTTCGTACTTCAAATTCCTTAGAATAAAATATTTGTCAAGTTAAAGTTGGAACACTTGAACTCAAAGTTACCATATTAAAGTCACCGGTTCACGTTGTGCATTTTGTAAACACCATTTCAAAATTAATAGTGGTTTTTACATGCAAAGGGTTGGGAGATGAAAAAATTTGGCCCATACAGGTCTCGAACCTGTGACCTTCGCGTTATTAGCACGACGCTCTAACCAACTGAGCAAATAGGCCTATGATTTCCAACTTTCAGAACACCACTATATCTAGTCACTTTTTCAGCTAAAATTGGTAAATATGGTTATGAAATGCCAAGTGTTCATATGTAAAATGCTACACAAAATTAGATGACTTAACACATATTCAGTGTTACTGTACTTTTTATTTATTAATTATGATCTATTTATCACAAATTATTTATATGAGAGACAAGGGTTACAAACCGAAGAAAAAATTTTAATCCTAACTAAAGAGTATCGGGAATGACTCGGACGAAAATGCGTAAGGGCATATTATTCAATATTACGAAAGACAATGGAATCTCCCTTGCAGATGGCATGACCACCGCTGAGTGCATTGGATGGTAGAGATGTGAGTTAAGCGAAGGAGAAAATACCCTTGACGGTTTCGATAACTACCACAGTTTTAGAATCAATCTCACATATATATATGATCATCATCCGGTGATACCAGGACACATCCTGAGCTCAAGGAATCAAATTAACAAATTTTTGGACACGGCAGCCGAGAAAGGCGAAGAAGCAGCAAGAAGAACGAGGGTTGAAGCTGCACAATTGAAGACATTTATATATGCTTTATGAACATTGAATTGTAATATAATTCATTTGAGATTATTAATGAAAATTTTCAGTGTTGGTGATGCGTTGTGTTTATTTTTGTACTTCAAATTCCTTAGAATAAAATATTTGTCAAGTTAAAGTTGGAACACTTGAACTCAAAGTTACCATATTAAAGTCACCGGTTCACGTTGTGCATTTTGTAAACACCATTTCAAAATTAATAATGGTTTTTACATGGAAAGGGTTGGGAGATGAAAATATTGGCCCATACAGGTCTCGAACCTGTGACCTTCGTGTTATTAGCACGACGCTCTAACCAACTGAGCTAATAGGCCTTTGATTTCCACCTTTCAGAACACAACTATATCTAGTCACTTTTTCAGCTAAAATTGGTAAAAATGGTTATGAAATGCCAATTGTTCATATGTAAAATGCTACACGAAATTAGATGACTTAACACATATTCAGTGTCACTGTATTTTTTATTTATTAATTATGATCGATTTCTCACCAATTAATTATATGAGAGACAAGGGTTACAAACCGAAGAAAATTTTTTAATCCTAACTAAAGAGTATCGGGAATGACTCGAACGAAAAAGAGTAAGGGCATATTATTTAATATTACGAAAGACAATGGAATCTCCCTTGCAAATGGGATGACCACCGCTGAGTGCATTAGATGGTAAAGATGCGAGTTAAGCGGAGGAGAAAATACCCTTGACGCTTTCAATAACTACCACAGTTTTAGAATCTATCTCGCATATATATATGATCATCATCCGGTGATACCAGGACACATCCAGAGCTCAAGGAAACAAATTAACAAATTTTTGGACACGGCAGCCGAGAAAGACGAAGAAGCAGCAAGAAGAACGAGGGTTGAAGCTGCACAATTGAAGACATTTTGTAATGTTTATATATTTATATATGCTTTATGCACATTGAATTGTAATATAATTCTTTTGATATTATTAATGAAAATTTTCGGTGTTGGTGATGCGTTGTGTTTATTTTTGTACTTCAAATTCCTTATAATAAAATATTTGTCAAGTTAAAGTTGGAACACTTGAACTCAAAGTTACCATATTAAAGTCACCGGTTGACGTTGTGCATTTTGTAAACACCATTTCAAAATTAATAATGGTTTTTACATGCAAAGGGTTGGGAGATGAAAATATTGGCCCATACAGGTCTCAAACCTGTGACCTTCGCGTTATTAGCACGACGCTCTAACCAACTAAGCTAATAGGCCTTTGATTTCTAATTTTCAGAACACTACTATATCTAGTCACTTTTTTAGCTAAAATTGGTATAAATGGTTATGAAATGCCAAGTGTTCATATGTAAAATGTTACACAAAATTAGATGACTTAACACATATTCAGTGTCACTGTATTTTTTATTTATTAATTATGATCGATTTATCACCAATTAATTTTATGAGAGACAAGGGTTACAAACCGAAGAAAAAATTTTAATCCTAACTAAAGAGTATCGGGAATGACTCTGACGAAAAAGCGTAAGGGCATATTATTCAATATTACGAAAGACAATGGAATCTCCCTTGCAGATGGGATGACCATCGCTGAGTGCATTAGATGGTAGAGATGCGAGTTAAGCGAAGGAGAAAATACCCTTGACGGTTTTGATAACCACCACAGTTTTAGAATCAATCTCACATATATATATGATCATCATCCGGTGATACCAGGACACATCCTGAGCTCAAGGAATCAAATTAACAAATTTTTGGACACGGCAGCCGAGAAAGGCGAAGAAGCAGCAAGAAGAACGAGGGTTGAAGCTGCACAATTGAAGACATTTATATATGCTTTACGAACATTGAATTGTAATATAATTCTTTTGAGATTATTAATGAAAATTTTCAGTGTTGGTGATGCGTTGTGTTCATTTTTGTACTTCAAATTCCTTAGAATAAAATATTTGTCAAGTTAAAGTTGGAACACTTGAACTCAAAGTTACCGGTTGACGTTGTGCATTTTGTAAACACCATTTCAAAATTAATAATGGTTTTTACACCATTTCAAAATTAACAATGGTTTTTACATGCAAAGGGTTGGGAGATGAAAATTTTGGCCCATACAGGTCTCGAACCTGTGACCTTCGCGTTATTAGCACGACGCTCTAACCAACTGAGCTAATAGGCCTTTGACTTCCAACTTTCAGAACACTAATATATCTAGTCACTTTTTCAGCTAAAATTGGTAAAAATGGTTATGAAATGCCAAGTGTTCATATGTAAAATGCTTCACAAAATTAGATGACTTAACACATATTCAGTGTCACTGTATTTTTTATTTATTAATTATGATTGATTTATCACCAATTAATTATATGAGAGACAAGGGTTACAAACCGAAGAAAAACTTTTAATCCTAACTAAAGAGTATCGGGAATGACTCGGATGAAAAAGCGTAAGGGCATATTATTCAATATTACGAAAGACAATGGAATCTCCCTTGCAGATGGGATGACCACCGCTGAGTGCAATACATGGTAGAGATGCGAGTTAAGCGAAGGAGAAAATACCCTTGACGCTTTCGATAACTACCACAGTTTTAGAATCAATCTCACATATATATGATCATCATCCGGTGATACCAGGACACATCCTGAGCTCAAGAAATCAAATTAACAAATTTTTGGAAATGGCAGCCGAGAAAGGCGAAGAAGCAGCAAGAAGAACGAGGGTTGAAGCTGCACAATTGAAGACATTTTGTAATGTTTATATATTTATGTATGCTTTATGCACATTGAATTGTAATATAATTCTTTTGAGATTATTAATGAAAATTTTCAGTGTTGGTGATGCGTTGTGTTTATTTTTGTACTTCAAATTCCTTAGAATAAAATATTTGTCAAGTTAAAGTTGGAACACTTGAACTCAAAGTTTCCATATTAAAGTCATGGAACACTTGAACTCAAAGTTACCATATTAAAGTCACCGGTTCACGTTGTACATTTTGTAAACACCATTTCAAAATTAATAATGGTTTTTACATGAAAAGGGTTGGGAGATGAAAATTGTGGCCCATACAGGTATCGAACCTGTGACCTTCGCGTTATTAGCACATCACACTAACCAACTAAGCTAATAGACCTTTAATTTCTAACTTTCAGAACACTACTATATCTAGTCACTTTTTCAGCTAAAATTGGTAAAAATGGTTATGAAATGCCAAGTGTTCATATTTAAAATGCTACACAAAATTAGATGACTTAACACATATTCAGTGTCACTGTACTTTTTATTTATTAATTATGATCAATTTATCACCAATTATTTATATGAGAGACAAGGGTTACAAACCGAAGAAAAAATTTTAATCCTAACTAAAGAGTATCGGGAATGACTCGGACGAAAAAGCGTAAGGGCATATTATTCAATATTACGAAAGACAATGGAATCTCCCTTGCAGATGGGATGACCACCGCTGAGTGCATTGGATGGTAGAGATGTGAGTTAAGCGAAGGAGAAAATACCCTTGACGGTTTCGATAACTACCACAGTTTTAGAATCAATCTCACATATATATATGATCATCATCCGGTGATACCAGGACACATCCTGAGCTCAAGGAATCAAATTAACAAATTTTTGGACACGGCAGCCGAGAAAGGCGAAGAAGCAGCAAGAAGAACGAGGGTTGAAGTTGCACAATTGAAGACATTTATATATGCTTTATGAACATTGAATTATAATATAATTCATTTGAGATTATTAATGAAAATTTTCAGTGTTGGTGATGCGTTGTGTTTATTTTTGTACTTCAAATTCCTTAGAATAAAATATTTGTCAAGTTAAAGTTGGAACACTCGAACTCAAAGTTACCATATTAAAGTCACCGGTTCACGTTGTCCATTTTGTAAACACCATTTCAAAATTAATAATGGTTTTTACATGGAAAGGGTTGGGAGATGAAAATATTGGCCCATACAGGTCTCGAACCTGTGACCTTCGCGTTATTAGCACGACACTCTAACCAACTGAGCTAATAGGCCTTTGATTTCCACCTTTCAGAACACAACTATATCTAGTCACTTTTTCAGCTAAAATTGGTAAAAATGGTTATGAAATGCCAAGTGTTCATATGTAAAATGCTACACAAAATTAGATGACTTAACACATATTCAGTGTCACTGTATTTTTTATTTATTAATTATGATCGATTTATCACCAATTAATTATATGAGAGACAAGGGTTACAAACCGAAGAAAATTTTTTAATCCTAACTAAAGAGTATCGGGAATGACTCGAACGAAAAAGCGTAAGGGCATATTATTTAATATTACGAAAGACAATGGAATCTCCCTTGCAGATGGGATGACCACCCCGCTGAGTGCATTAGATGGTAAAGATGCGAGTTAAGCGGAGGAGAAAATACCCTTGACGCTTTCGATAACTACCACAGTTTTAGAATAAATCTCACATATATATATGATCATCATCCGGTGATACCAGGACACATCCAGAGCTCAAGGAAACAAATTAACAAATTTTTGGACACGGCAGCCGAGAAAGACGAAGAAGCAGCAAGAAGAACGAGGGTTGAAGCTGCACAATTGAAGACATTTTGTAATGTTTATATATTTATATATGCTTTATGCACATTGAATTGTAATATAATTCTTTTGAGATTATTAATGAAAATTTTCGGTGTTGGTGATGCGTTGTGTTTATTTTTGTACTTCAAATTCAATATAATAAAATATTTGTCAAGTTAAAGTTGGAACACTTGAACTCAAAGTTACCATATTAAAGTCACCGGTTCAAGTTGTGCATTTTGTAAACACCATTTTAAAATTAATAATGGTTTTTACATGCAAAGGGTTGGGAGATGAAAATTTTGGCCCATACACGTCTCGAACCTGTGACCTTCACATTATTAGCACGACGCTCTAACCAACTAAGCTAATAGGCCTTTGATTTCTAATTTTCAGAACACTACTATATCTAGTCACTTTTTTAGCTAAAATTGGTAAAAATGGTTATGAAATGCCAAGTGTTCATATGTAAAATGTTACACAAAATTAGATGACTTAACACATATTCAGTGTCACTGTATTTTTTATTTATTAATTATTATCGATTTATCACCAATTAATTTTATGAGAGACAAGGGTTACAAACCGAAGAAAAAATTTTAATCCTAACTAAAGAGTATCGGGAATGACTCTGACGAAAAAGCGTAAGGGCATATTATTCAATATTACGAAAGACAATGGAATCTCCCTTGCAGATGGGATGACCATCGCTGAGTGCATTAGATGGTAGAGATGCGAGTTAAGCGAAGGAGAAAATACCCTTGACGGTTTCGATAACTACCACAGTTTTAGAATCAATCTCACATATATATATGATCATCATCCGGTGATACCAGGACACATCCTGAGCTCAAGGAATCAAATTAACAAATTTTTGGACACGGCAGCCGAGAAATGCGAAGAAGCAGCAAGAAGAACGAGGGTTGAAGCTGCACAATTGAAGACATTTATATATGCTTTACGAACATTGAATTGTAATATAATTCTTTTGAGATTATTAATGAAAATTTTCAGTGTTGGTGATGCGTTGTGTTTATTTTTGTACTTCAAATTCCTTAGAATAAAATATTTGTCAAGTTAAAGTTGGAACACTTGAACTCAAAGTTACCATATTAAAGTCACCGGTTGACGTTGTGCATTTTGTAAACACCATTTCAAAATTAATAGTGGTTTTTACACCATTTCAAAATTAACAATGGTTTTTACATGCAAAGGGTTGGGAGATGAAAATTTTGGCCCATATAGGTCTCGAACCTGTGACCTTCGCGTTATTAGCACGACGCTCTAACCAACTGAGCTAATAGGCCTTTGATTTCTAACTTTCAGAACACTAATATATCTAGTCACTTTTTCAGCTAAAATTGGTAAAAATGGTTATGAAATGCCAAGTGTTCATATGTAAAATGCTTCACAAAATTAGATGACTTAACACATATTTAGTGTCACTGTATTTTTTATTTATTAATTATGATCGATTTATCACCAATTAATTATATAAGAGACAAGGGTTACAAACCGAAGAAAAAATTTTAATCCTAACTAAAGAGTATCGGGAATGACTCGGACGAAAAAGCGTAAGGGCATATTATTCAATATTACGAAAGACAATGGAATCTCCCTTGCAGATGGGATGACCACCGCGGAGTGCATTAGATGGTAGAGATGCGAGTTAAGCGGAGGAGAAAATACCCTTGACGCTTTCGATAACTACCACATTTTTAGAATCAATCTCACATATATATATGATCATCATCCGGTGATACCAGGACACATCCAGAGCTCAAGGAAACAAATTAACAAATTTTTGGACACGGCAGCCGAGAAAGACGAAGAAGCAGCAAGAAGAACGAGGGTTGAAGCTGCACAATTGAAGACATTTTGTAATGTTTATATATTTATATATGCTTTATGCACATTGAATTGTAATATAATTCTTTTGAAATTATTAATGAAAATTTTCGGTGTTGGTGATGCGTTGTGTTTATTTTTGTACTTCAAATTCCTTAGAATAAAATATTTGTCAAGTTAAAGTTGGAACACTTGAACTCAAAGTTACCATATTAAAGTCACCGGTTGACGTTGTGCATTTTGTAAACACCATTTCAAAATTATTAATGGTTTTTACATGCAAAGGGTTGGGAGATGAAAATTTTGGCCCATACAGGTCTCGAACCTATGACCTTCGCATTATTAGCATGACGCTCTAACTAACTGAGCTAATTGGCCTTTGATTTCCAACTTTCAGAACACTACTATATCTAGTCACTTTTTCAGCTAAAATTGGTAAAAATGGTTATGAAATGCCAAGTGTTCAAATGTAAAATGCTACACAAAATTAGATGACTTAACACATATTCAGTGTCACTGTATTTTTTATTTATTAATTATGATCGATTTATCACCAAATATTTATATGAGAGACAAGGGTTACAAACCGAAGAAAAAATTTTAATCCTAACTAAAGAGTATCGGGAATGACTCGGAGGAAAAAGCGTAAGGGCATATTATTCAATATTACGAAAGACAATGGAATCTCCCTTGCCGATGGGATGACCACCGCTGAGTGCATTAGATGGTTGAGATGCGAGTTAAGTGAAGGAGAAAATACCCTTGACGGTTTCGATAACTACCACAGTTTTAGAATCAACCTCATATATATATATGATCATCATCCGGTGATACCAGGACACATCCTGAGCTCAAGGAATCAAATTAACAAATTTTTGAACACGGAAGCCGAGAAAGGCGAAGAAGCAGCAAGAAGAACGAGGGTTGAAGCTGCACAATTGAAGACATTTATATATGCTTTATGAACATTGAATTGTAATATAATTCATTTGAGATTATTAATGAAAATATTCAGTGTTGGTGATGCGTTGTGTTTATTTTTGTACTTCAAATTCCTTAGAATAAAATATTTGTCAAGTTAAAGTTGGAACACTTGAACTCAATGTTACCATATTAAAGTCACCGGTTCACGTTGTGCATTTTGTAAACACCATTTCAAAATTAATAATGGTTTTTACATGCAAAGGGTTGGGAGATGAAAGTTTTGGCCCATACAAGTCTCGAACCTGTGACCTTCGCGTTATTAGCACGACGCTCTAACCAACTGAGCTAATAGGCCTTTAATTTCCAACTTTCAGAACACTACTATATCTAGTCACTTTTTCAGCTAAAATTGGTAAAAATGGTTATGAAATGCCAAGTGTTCATATGTAAAATGCTACACAAAATTAGATGACTTAACACATATTCAGTGTCACTGTATTTTTTATTTATCAATTATGATCGATTTATAACCAATTATTTATATGAGAGACAAGGGTTACAAACCAAAGAAAAAATTTTAATCCTAACTAAAGACTATCGGGAATGACTCGGACGAAAAAGCGTAAGGGCATATTATTCAATATTACGAAAGACAATGGAATCTCCCTCGCAGATGGGATGACCACCGCTGAGTGCATTAGATGGTAGAGATGCGAGTTAAGCGAAGGAGAAAACACCCTTGACGGTTTCGATAACTACCACAGTTTTAGAATCAATCTCAAA